CCCCTTAATAATAAAAACCTTCATTTAAAAACTGCATTTTGTGTTTACTTGTGTTATCTTTGTCTAATATTTAAATTTGTTTGATCTGAAACATTTAAGTGTGACAAACATGCAAAAAAATAAGAAATCAGGAAGGGGGCAAACACTTTTTCACACAACTGTATACATACATACACATACATATATACATACATACACATACATATACACATACACTTATATATAAAACTAAACTTTCAATAAAACAGTCCGGTTTGAAAAAATAATATTGCAACAACTAATGTAGCGATTACGATAACTACTTCAAGGTTTGTTTTTTTTTCCTGTATGAACAGGAATGAATTGTCCGTGTGCCGAGGAGTATTTACAAACTAAGAGAGGCCAACTCATCAATCATGGAAGGCAGAGGTATGTGCACGGATGTGCATCCTCCTCAAAATTAAACAAAGAAAATTTGTTGCCGAATCTTTTAAAAACCTTGTTTTCCTTACTTAGGTTTCAACGCTTTCCGTGGTGGGACGTCACGCCTCCCCCACCTCAACACAGACTGTAAAACCTGCAGTCTCTCACAGCACTGATAAATCCTCACAGCTTTGTAACAACAGAGGACGATGTATCAAAGTTATTAAAGCACAGGGAGGTGGAAAAGCCACATTAACCATGCATGGATGCTTTTCTACCGTCAATAGAAATTGTTCTGACTCATTATCACGTAAAGAAATGTAAAAACAAAACAAATGTACAGTAAAATATGCATTTATTTATAGTGATTAAAGTACCAAACGATCCTGCACACTGGTCACACAAAATCAATTTACACACTTAAGTGTACTGACTCAATTTAAACGCCAATACCAACATAAATACATTTCAAATATAAATACAGTACTGTACACCTTTCCCTTAGATCAAATTTGAATGTTGGAGTAGATTGTCAAGGACTGGATGTGTGGTATCACAGGCACCAGATGTGTTGGGCCCGCACAGCTGCCCGCAGAAGAATCTGCCCTATAGTCCTTTGCTACTAAAATGTTGTACAAATTCAAATTCATTTCAAAGGAAGCAATTATGTAAAACATGCTGATTTGGTTTAAACTGGATTTTTTCATTTTAATTACACAAACTAAAAATAAAATAAAAATTCTTGCTGACATGAACAAGTCATCTGCTGGCTTTCCCAAAGGCCATATACTCATTACATTGGAAGGATTCAATAAAATCATACTCCATCTGAAAGCATCACTCTCATCATGGTGATGTCACAGTGCAACGTCATGTGTGCAGCTGATGAATTATACAATCTCAAATTGACAAGGCACAAGCTGATGAGTCCACAAGGAAGAGATGAGGAGAAATGAGAAGTGTGCGTGTCTAGTGCCAGTTTCAGGAAGCACAGGTAGACATGATTTGGAGAAGACTGCGTTTCATTTCAAACAAAGAATCTGGCTGAAGGTGTGTTTCCTTGTCTGGCTGAAGGTGTGTTAAACACACCTTCAGCCAGACAAGGAAGTAGTCGGTTAAAATGTAAACATTGTATTCCAGATCAAATTAACCCCATGGTGGAGAACAAAAGGATACAGGTTAACTGGACATACACAAATGACATAAACAAATAGAAAGCACCTGGATTGATTGACAAAAATACAGACTAGTGTGTCTGTTATCATCCCTCATGCAAATCTTTGGCTGGACTGTATACATTTATAAATTTGGACTTTTTATTTAAAAGCATCATTCTCACATTAATGTATTTCTATTAGACAGAGAAATATGAATGCCTCCAAACAATGGTTTCCTGCTGAAATTAACTTTCTGTCTGTATTTTGTGGGGGGGGTTTAAGACCTGGTTTTTAGGTTAGTTAGTTGAGAGTCAAGTTAGTTGAGAAATGTATTTGGAATTAATTGGAAGATAAATCAGTAAAGATGACCACAATAAAAATAGTTAGTTGCAGCCCTATTCATGTGAATAAAAAACTTGACACAAATATAAGACTTTTTTTTCATATGGAATCAAGCTTCTCTGAGCTACCGCAGCATACAATCAAATAAAATTGATTTAGTCCTCCACAGATCGTTTACACAGCGTTACACCTAACTTTATTGTGAACATGCTTCTGAATGCAGCCTGACGAGTTTGGGATGTGACATGGAAACTGGTTAACCACAGTATGCTAAAACAAACACCCAAATCACTGTGGACAAATGGGTGTTGGCTGATGTACAAGGTGAGGCACTTTTTGATTTAAATTTGATCTGAAAAGCTTTATGCTCCGTCTGAGCAGCTCTTGGCGTATATTGGCTTCCAAGGCATATGGTCATCCGTGTGAAATTAAGTCAAACAACTCCAGCAAACCACAAGCGATTTGCAAAAGTCAAGAAAAAGATAAAATATTTGACGAATCAAATTTAAGTGGCTCTGGAACATACTAGTATCATGTGGATTAAAAAGGTGCTTTAGTTAATTAACAAATGAGTGCAGGTTACAGAAAGCCATTCCCAACGTCTAAAGAAGATGTTCAGCTGTAAAACCACCTAAAAAACCCTGAAAACGAGGGTAAGTCATAAACCACCTCTTGGCCTTAAGACCGGTCTCACAGTTGCAATTCACATTAGCAGCAGTCCTTCAGAAACACACGCATGTGTGGAGACATTTCAAATCAAAGTGGACTTATTTTCTACTTGTGTAAAAATTGGAGCGAAGATTATCACAATGAATAAGCACTTTCCATCACGCACCCACACAGTTAAACTGTTATTTGCCTGCTGGGACAGCAGGAGGGACCTTACCAGCAGCAGGAGGGACATTACCAGCAGCAGGAGGGGAATCTATATCCTGTCTCGTGTCAGTCCTGGATGGATCATCCCCCTCTCCTTGCCCTTTCTCCTGAGAAGTCAGCTCTTTTTTTCCTTCTTCTGCAGCATCCCGGGAACTTGACTGCTTAATATTGTACACCAGCGGGATGGGGGGCTGGTAACGATATCTGTAGCCAAAGGCACGCAGGTGATATGTGTAGTACTCCAATAAATACATCTGTGGAGCATCTACATAGTGGAATGACACGGACAAGTCCGAGCAGCAGTTTGGACCCTGAGAAAAAAAAGAGTGTATTGTAGTTATGCAACAATACAGAGACAAAATGGTTGAGCTTTCCTTGTTACTGTGGATTAACCAGTTTGACCAAAAGCTGCTATGGGAAAACTTTGTTGACCTCGGCAAATGTTCCAATTTTATCTCAAAGATCGACATCGGGGTGAGTCAAGGCTTGGCCTGATCAGATCCTTTGTTTTACATCAGATGTCAAACAGACGTTTTACTCGCGAAGCTTTCATGCACATCAACACAATGAGTGCAGCCACTTCAACTCTTAAAGTCTCCGCAGACTGCAGACAGTGGTGGAGAGCCAACGCAACCACACTCACTGCACCACTGAGCATTGCAAGTGCAACAAAAGCACTGCAAGAAAACAGCCAGTAAGAGTAATTTGTTGATGTTTTGTATAAATGATAATAAAAAAACATTAAGGAACAGATTGGATGTAGGGATTGTTTTTTTGAATGCAATACTAAACTATTCAATTGTTAAGGATATATATTTGATTGATTGTAATACCTTTAATGTAGCCTACTTGAAGTGTGCACTATGCAGCCGTATTGGGAAAATAGAAGTATCTGATGGGAACACGGTTTCGGCAGATACTCAATTTTGAAACTTTTAGATCAGGAGCAAAAGAACTTGATCGGTACATCCGTTTAAACAAGCATATAGTTGTCCGTCTTAAGCTAGTTGTCTTTTCAAACATTAGCAGTGCTGAAGTTGCGTCAAACCAGTGTAATACCACGTCAACAACAAAGAGAAAGTCCAGAATGTTTTCTGCACTTGCCTCCGAGATCGGGTAGTAGCAGTAGCTCCAATACCAGAAGCTCTTGGGAAACTTGGCAGTGAGGTGCTGCTCGGGGACAAATGGATGAAATGTCTCCCTCTGCACAGCGTCTCTGGAGTCCCCTGCCAGCACTCCAACTTTCTCCATGCACTGCCCCATTGCCAGGTCCTCTACAGAGCTAGTGTGAGTGCAGACTTTGCTTTTAAATCCTTCTACAAATCGCCGCAGAGCCTCTCTGCTCAACACATAGCCCGCACCACCACTCATGTAGCCCTGCTTGGCGTAGGGCTTGAATCTTCGGCCAAAGTAAATCGGCTCACCCGGTGTGTGGTTCGAGAGAACCAAACGCAGGTTGTCTACAATTACGTAGGTGTCGTCATCTGCCTTAAGGAACCAGTCCGCCTCGTTGCTGTGATGCTCGTAGACATATTGGAAGGCCCGGATCGTTTTCCAGTAAAGCTGGTCTCTACCCTCCTTTGTGTCTAAGCCCACCGTGGGGAAGTCGGGGTCGTCCACAGAGCTCATGAAGACCACGATATTGCAGTGGCGACTCCAAGTAGACTTCACATGGCGAGTCTTCTTCTCCAGGTTGTTGGGTCCAGTCATCACCCAGCAAAGAATACGCACCTTTTTGTATAGTTCATCAGCCATGCTGCTATCCTCACCTAGTAAGGAGATACAAATAGTAATATAACATTTCACACTGTAATCTCTCCATAGTAAACTGTGATAGTATCCAATCATACAATAGTTAATACAATATATTATTGAAGGGGAAAAGACAACATTCAAAAGAGGAAATCAAATATGGGGTGTAGGGTTTAGCATAAAAATCCAGAACCAGGAACTCAAAGTGGATGGTTAAAAATGAAAAGCCAATCATAAAATGGAGGTTAAGATGAACTAATATGCATCAGAAAATTAACAAACATTTAGAGGTACAACTACAGATCCAAACCAAATTCAGTGAGACAATCATCAAAAATAAATGTTTGGTCAACTTTCAATTCCAACCACACACACACACACACACGTGTTTACAGGCACTTGATCAATGATTATTGGTTAACCAGAGAAAACAGGCTACAGGGTAATTGGAGAATATGTTTACAGGCGCTGTAGGAACCTGGTTACTGTAAAGCCGTGTGTACATTCAGCTTCTGCAAAGTTACTCCTCCACTGCGTTGCTTAAAGGTCGAGCAAACTGTAAATCTCTTCAAGTGTAGAGTGTAGATTGCAAAATGGGAAAGAAAACACGGTCCCACCGCCACCACATTCCTTGTGTGAAATGTTGTGTGTGTGGGGTGGTGGAGGTAGAAAGCAGAAAGGATGTGAGAACATTCTGTCAATGAACTTAGTAGTGATGGAAAACATCTGTACTTTTTTTTTTACAGAGAGGAATCGAAGCTGCCAGGGCTCAGTGAAGCACATCCTGCACTTCTCCAGCAGCCACCAGGTCGAGACTAAACCTCGGAAGAGGGGCCTCCACCACAGCCACCAGCACCTCATGCACCTGCGCTCCCACCCACACATTAGCCAGCTCCAATGTCTTGGAGGACAAATAGCTCGATTAGATTGTCTAGGTGTCAATCAGCTGATGCGTATGTCAATATTGAAAAAAGGGCAGTACTCACACATTCACTACATGCACTAAACAAACAGGACACTAGTAAGACAGCTACATGGATGTATTACAGAACTAGCTATGGGGAAGTGAGCCAAACAATGACTTCTTTACCCCAGATAAGTGCTGAAACAATCTAAACGAGGGCAGATACATCTGTAAAGACTTCAAAAAGAATCTGAAAGAAGAAATACAGCAACTGGATTGAAGGTTACATCCACAATATTAAAAAACAGCAGTATTAGAAGTTGCAGTAGTAGCAATAGTAGTTCTATATCAACAGTAGTAGTAGCAGCAGCAGATGTAGTCGTAGTAGCAGAAGTATCAACAGCAGTAGTACGTCTTTTAATCCAAAAGGGAGTTTTTTTCATAAAAACAGTGGTGTGAGAGTAAGAGAGTGGGAGTGAGAGAGTGAGTGGGAAAGAGACAGACAGACAGAGAGAGAGAACTGAACCAGCATAAGATTAGCAAGGCACAACCCAATCAGGATTCCTCAAAGGAAGATCGACCCACAATAATATCTGCTTAGTTCTGGACTTTATTGATTACAACTATTTAATTGACGATGGTTTTATGCTATTCTTGGATTTCCAAAAAAGCATGCGACTCAGTTGAACATAAATGTATTTTTGACAGTGATAAATGTAAACACTTTGGGAACAGGTTTTTAGACACGGTTACTATGATACATAAAGAAATCATAACAAGCTCAGCAATAACTCGTTTAATACTATGTCCTATAACTAATGTTGAGTTTATTATTGTACTTATTTTCTATATAAAAAATAAACGTCCATATGGCGTACCTGTATGATGAGGGTGCCTTAGGTTGAACAGAGCAGACCTCTCCTTCTTCCATATCTTCCTCTCTTCCTCAGGCTGTTGCTGGTGGTCATGACGTTGATGCAAGCTGCTGACCTGCTGTGATGACATGGTCTTCTCAAAGCTTACCTGCCGCAGAAACACGTACAGCGTGCAGGTTCCCACCACGAAACCCGCACAGAAGGAGAATCTGGATCCGAGGGCCTTCATTCTGGACCCGGTGTCCTCACTGTCAGTCGTTCAACTTGGCAGGTGCTGAATACGGTGGTGAAGGAGACAACACGGACACACGTTTCACTACAAGGGGCCCCAGTCACGAGTTGCAAACTTTCCAAATCTCCTCGCTGTTATCGAGTGTTGGCAGAAATGAAGTGTCAACTGGGTGACAGCGTCACTGCGTGTCTAAGGTGGGGTTTAATGGTACTCACCAGCAGTATCGCGTACACCATAGCAGCTGGAGTATCCCGCAGCTACTTCATTGTAACACTACACATTAACTTTGTAAAAGCGAAAGCTGAGCCAGTTTTGACCACGACGTAGCTGTTTGTTTCCCCCTCCCTGAACGAGAACTTAGCTCAGCTAGCAGCACTAATATGTTGCCAATAGTTATCGTTGCGAAACTGCGAGCGATCTAACGTTAACCACGAACAGCTAAATAATATCCGGGATAGAAAATAAACGACTTATAAAAGCAGTTGTTCTCATCGTCTCCTGGCCTTGTTAAAACAGCCGTTGGTAAACGTTAGCTGGTCCGTTGGTTTGATCGACACTGCTGACGGTAAATTCAGTGCTAAATTAGCAATCCTTCCTGTTGTGTCAACATAACGTCAACTAACGGAAGCGTTAGTTATCCAGGTGACCGACCGAGCTGGCTGGATGTACTGTGGATTGGACTAAGCCCCGTAGTTTAATGAAAATAACGTTACAGACAAAAACACCCATGTAAAAATGTTTCAAAACGCTGCAGAAACTGCTAACTAATCTGGGTTCTGTTTTCCGTCCAGAAGACACAGCATTTTCCGGTCAGGTCGGGATATTTCAAAAGAAAAGCGCAGGCGCGTACTACTGCAAATAAATATACAGGTGCGATTACTTGGCAAACATTTTTATTTTTCCAAATACTGTATTTTGTTTATTTATCCTAGATCAAAGGTATCTGATTATAAACAGATCCTGTTAACTTTGGGTTTTCCATCGCATTGCAATACAGGCCCAAAATCAGATTAGACCATTAGAAGATGCATAACAATGCAAGAGCAAGACAAATCCAGTTAGCCAAGTGAAGAAACGCACCTACACACATCCTGAAGCATTTTTCTGCTTTCTTATCCGACCTTGAGCCTCTGGATACTGGCTTCTTTGGGAACAAATACCTAAATTGACCACATTTACTCTGGTAACTCGAGTCTGACTTAATTTGTGCCATTATACATCAAATCAATTCAAAAGCATATTCACGCAACAATTATGTACAAGTTGAGTTCCCAGTAGTCACAGTTATTCACAAATGATACAAATTCAGCCCCTAAATACACAATCCGTAGAAAAGTTGTGTAGATTCATTATTTGGGTACACTGAATCTGACTGACAGTGTAGCACTCTTTTCCTTTGCTAAATTAGGGTAAGTTAAATTGTCAGAAATTAAAGTACAAAATTAAAAGATATATCTTCCTAAACTTCTTTAAGTGTTTTTTTCTTTTGGATCCATTTAACAGCAGGACAACCTGAAATAAACATTTTTGTGAAACAATGTTAAAATTCTGGGTTTAGACAAACCTTTTCAAAAGCATGTGTGCAAACACTTCTGTAAGCTACAATTGTGTTTAATCTCATCACCAAATGCAGCAACAGAAAGTTTCAAAGACAAGTGGGAACTGAAATGGGAACTCTTCAGTATTTGTCTTTTGTTTTTCATATGCAGACACAATCATCCTTTGGAGTAAACTGTAACTTGAACAACCTGTGCAAACACTCCTTCAGGTTGAGGCATGCACAATTCCCCCCAAGCTGTCTTTTGAATCTAAGGACTTCTTTGTCAATAACAACATACAAGTAATAATTGAACTGTGGACACAGTGTGCCGCTGACAACTTCAGAACTAGATGCAAATATTCAGTTGAAGTCACTAAAAAAAAAGAAAAAAAAAAAAAAGTACCATCTTTCAAAACTGAATCCCTTCAAAAAGGGGAAAATGCATAACTTCATTCAACTGCACAGTACAGCTGAGATGTTGCGGGGTCATCGTGCAACATATAACTGGTGCCCACTCCAGACACATATTGCCTATTCAAGACACACAGACACATTTTCAGAATGTGCAAACAGGTGAGTAGATGTTATCCACCAGCTTTAATAGCAGTAATTGAATAAATGGGGCTCCCTCCACAGGAGTTCACCGTCACAACAGCTGCACTGAATGAGCTCATATGTCCACGTCATCTGAGTCAGAGGGGCCGGATGACTGGGACTCCTCCTGGGACTCTCCCCACACAAACCTATAGTTGTTCTCCAACTCCTGCTGCCTCTTTTGCTCTTTGTAAACCTCTTCTGTGCCTCCAGTCTGTAAGATGGGGGGGGGGGGGGAAATGATGGTTTTACAAACAACCACCTTTATGAATGCATGTTTATATGACTTGTGGAAAATTAAAAGAAAACGTCACTTTTTAAACTTTTTCCCCACAAAAGAAAAAGCTTATTTTACGTGTCAAAGTCCTTATTCTGATTTGCTGAATGTCAATGACAAAACACACATTTTGTAGACAGTTTGTCAAAGGTTGAAGAGAAGTGTACTTGAGGGTGGTAAGTGGGTTTCAGTGAGGATGAAAAAATAAAACAAAACAATAATCACACTAATTGAAAAGGCTTCGTTGGCTGTGTGAAATAACCCCTCTGCTCCCTTTCCTTGCAGGTTAATGTTTTATCTCGTAAAACATGTTTTCATATTTTATGAGGTTAGATGAGGGTGTTTCGGCAAGGTAGTTCAACTCTACAATAAAATGCTGCAGGAAACCCTGCGGACCTATCTCAGCAAACCTGAAACCAGCTGGTCATTACTTTTCCCTCATATTTCACAGACTAGTTTTCTGAAGCACAACAGTTATTATTTTATTATTGTTTTTTTATCAGAAGCTTCAGTAAAAGTAGTAATGAAATATGAAATATTAGGCAACATTTTTTTGCTGTTATACTAAAACTTTTTTTTTTTTTTTTTTTTATAAACAAAAATGATAACTTGAGGACACACACACACACACACACACACACACACACACACACACACACACA